GATGTACACAGCAGCACAAAACCCTCTATTTTAACAGTGCACAGGCATTTCTATGAGAAAAAGGTTCAACCTGAAAAGGTTTCTGCACTCCCTTGGGCATCTTGCCTTTGGCCACTCAGTGCAAGCGAGCCTAGGAAATGAAGTTCTACTACAATGTCTGTTTTGCCTTTACTTTCTCTACAACCTTACCCCAACATGGTCTTCCCAGGATCACCCACACAATCATATCTTGGAAGAGGTCTGAGAAGGGAGGGCAGCCATGGCACTTTATTACAGCAGTTAAATACTAGCACATGTGGACAACCTAGTGTTTAACTGCTAAACTGCTTTTTCATCCATTTACTGGCTTGCCTCTGCCTGGCTCATCTAGCTAGTCAAGAAGCCTTTATTCTGGTGCAGCTATTCTAATAACAAATTTTTATTTAAAATCCTAGTAACAAAATTGTCCAAAAAACATTGTGTGTCCTCCCCTGCAAGGCCTATTTCTGATTGGAGCCTTCAGGTATTATCAGTGCAAATTAATAAGGATACATATATTAAAAGGCTGAACTGAATTTCAGTCCTGAACATTCACTTCCATTAATAATTTACTACCTATCACCAGATGAACTCTCAGAGTCCTGCGACCAGCTACAAGCCTACACCTTCCCTTTAAGGCAGCACCCATTCAGCACAGCCCTATGTTCTGGAAGTTCAAAAGGTGAAAAGCACTCTGAGCATGAATAAAGTTCTAAGTGTGTTTTAAAATAATTATTTACATTTATTCCTGCCGACCTTCTGGAGGCATGCATTTGGCTCAAGAGTGGCATTCTTTGAGACACTGGCGGCGTGAGCTCCTGCTGCAAGACCAGACAGACTCTCCATCCTGCTTTAATGCTGGCACATCAATCATAAAGCAACCTGTGTTGACATATTTAGCCCCAGTCGCCCATATGGTGTAAATCAGTTTTCAATCCCTGGAATTCACTAATTTACCGCTTTATATATCAACTGCTCACGTGCTTCAAACCAAAAAGTGGAATTAAAAATTTTAGCAAATGGTTTAAATATTTATCAAATTTTAGAATCAAATCCCAAAATGTCCTATATAGATGCATTAGTAAGTACATTATGGCAAATTACATACTGTACTGAAAATTACTCTGGTTTTGAATACCGAGCCCCCAGATGCTAAGAAAGAAGAAACAAAACAGGCTCACAATCTGTAAATCATCCACTTATGCCTGGGCACTGAGCAGTTCAGTAAACAATTTCCTGTGGACTATGAACTGCCCTACAACCACATTTACAATTAGTGACAGTGTTAGCTTAAAGTGCAAGTAACAAGGGTGAGACAAAGCAGAAGAGTTGCATTGCTTAACTTTAAATAGAGGAATTCACAGGCATATCATACCTATCATTCCGAAGGACCACGAGGGATCACACTTATTCCCAAAGTTCAGCCACTTCAGGGACAAAATAAAAAACCCTAGGACTTGGCAGAATTATTGGGGGTGGGACAACAGAACAATATAAGCCAAGAATACCACAGCATACCCCTCTTGAAAAGGGCTGTGGTATCAGTGTACACAGGGCCTGTGGTAATGCCTTTGTTGAAAGGTCAACAAAATAACATGCAGAATCATCAATTAAACCTGGACAGATGAAAGGTTGCATTGATCCAACAAGAAAATTTCCCTGGGAACCCAGGTAATCTTCAAAATGTCTTACATATCTCCATCAACCAGGAAGACTGACTCTGCAAAAGTTCAAGTTTTTTAAAATGTGCCTTCACACCAAGAAGGCTGCAGAGACTCACAGAAGGGCAGCCTTTCCCATCAAGCAGAAAGGGCCAGTTATCTGCATTTACATTCCTCTGGGCATTCTGAAGGATTCCCAAGAAGAGGCTATTCCACAAGTTTATCTTAAAGCAACATTTCTTTGGAAAGGTGAAGTTCTACAAGTTATGAAAAGAAGCACATTATTTCTGCAGCTGTCCCCAGACAAATGGTTTATTAAACCATGAGAGCAGTAAGAGTGCTCCCTCTAAAAGCAGCTGTGCAGTGGGATGCAGTGGGAAACCTTCAGCTGGTAGTATTTAGAAAGGGCCGAGTGTGACTGTCTCTAGGTGCTTGGAATACAGACTGTGACCAGGGAAGGACAGACAATCCATTACATATGACACTAATCCTTTCATCTTAAGTAGCCTAGCTGAGCTACGGTTCCCAAAATAATATCCATTTTATTTTGCGATCTGCTGGACTTCTCTAATCTCTTCTGAAACCCTTCCTTTCCTCAGAATACTAGCTTAGCCTAGGCATGGTTTTAGACGTGCTAACTGTAGTTATAAAGGGGTTAAATTACCCTGTAATACACTAATCTAAAAGCTTTTTAGTTTTTCTAACCACCACTTAACATGATTAGCAACAGATGCTCTTACTACACACATCCAGACAGAGTCCCCTGCTCAGCCACTCTCAGAGCATTACCTCCAGCTTCTGTGCTCTCTCTTTACTGAGAGGCTCCAGCAGAAAGCTCAGGTTATTGTCATCTGCTAGGGAGCGAAGATCAAAGTAGTATTTGGCGTAAACACTGGCAGGAACATTGATATTAAACTGCAGTAGCTCCAAGAAATGTCTTTCCATCTCGTTCCTAGGAGGCATAAGGGACAGAAGACAAAGGAAAAAAAAAAAAGATTGTTTTAGCTGGCTGAAAACACTGAAGAGACCTCAAGCTTGTTTTAAAACCAGCAACTCTGAAATAGTCATCGAGAGCTCTGCATTATTAGTTTTGAGAGACAGGTCATTCCCTGGTGCTCAAAACAAGGTGCAGCTTTTGAGTCCTGGCACCTCCAGCTCGGAGAGGAAGGTAGTGCCCTGTCGTGCACTCGCTCGGCTGACTGGGGAGGTTCATTCTTCGGAGTTCCATTAGTGCAGCTGTACAATTCATGTGCCATTCTCACTCTCATACGGCCCCACACTATAGTGATCAGATGAAAGGAATGATGTATGCTGTTTATTAGCTCTGAAGAACTTGCAGACATTTTCACCAGGCTGATAACAGGAAGGGGGTTTATTGAAGTAGAGGCGGACTAACAAAAGGAGTAGGCAGATCACCACGGCAACAAATGGATCTATGAAGAGCTGCTGCTATTATCTCACAGAAAAAAGCCTCTTGAAGCAACATGGATTCATCTCCAATAAATAAATAAATAAGCAGCATTAGGTGGGAGAAGGAATTTTCTCCTCAATAGCATTAGGCAGGATAACAAAAGTACTGTGTCAAAGGGCACTGTCCAGTTTTTACTCTCTTGTCTGTTTTCACTGGGCAAAGTACTTGGAGGAAAGTGGGGAGAGTGCCATGACATGAAAAAGGCTGCTTCAGCTACTGTACTGTGGTCAGCTGAAGCAGAGATGTTCTATAGAGAAAAAACAACGTTTTACAAATTAACCTAAAAAGAAACTGGTGGTACCCAAAACAAGCAATTCAGTTCAACACTAGCTCAACAACTGTTCCTACTGGCAGCAGACCTGTCTCAAGAGAATCTAGCAGCTGTGTAGGTCAACTGTGATTACACCATAAGGTAAGCTGCACAAAGTCAGTGCCAAGGCTGCTACTGCTTTCTGGGAGCTTTCAAAATGGACCCTCTACCTATCAGACAGGGGCAATAAATCAAGGAATCATCCAGGTTGTCCTGTACTGGATGGCGGGTCTCAATATGAATAGGAGCTTTGTGCTTGTTTCTGGCATAGTGGACTCGAGTATCATTGAACCTAGTGCCAAAATTAATTTCCTGTTCATATGGTCATAAGCCTATAGAAATGTAAATCAGATAATGTTTTGATGATCAGCTGATCAGAGCCTGATTTACCCTGTGAATAAATGCTCTTCACTTCCCCTTTTGTACTCACTAGGCTAATACATTTTAATTCTGTAAAAATACAATTCTTCATTGGATTAACAAGTCTATTAACAGTGGTTTAAAACCTGGGAAAGGATAATGCCCATGTGTTTTCTGTGCCTTATTTACAAATATATGTAGCCTAAAGAGTGAACAGCATGTGTCCCCTTACAAACAATCACGGCAAGATTAGCAGCTGCACAGTTAATTTTTCAGCGATTATGGATTTGCTCTCATCAAAGCAAGCAAGTTCTGACAAAGGATGACTTCCAAATATCAATTTAATTTCCTTTGATTTTTTTTTCCCCATTAAAAAATAAGTAAAACAAAACAAAACAACCCGACCTCCCAAAACCCCCAGAGAAAAACTCTTTTCAGTGAAAATAACCACCTGTGTTTTGGTCACATGAAAAAGGACTTTCTTTCTGGAAGAGCCACCCAGCTCCCGCTGCCAATGGAGCTGTGGGGTGGGGCTGCCAGCACATGTCCCAAGCAGTAAGGAGTGTTTGCTGGGGAGAAGATGCACCTACTCTGCCTTCAGAAGAGGTGCCTGGCTTGTACACACACACACAGGTACACACACACACACACACACACACGAGATTTGCAAACTGGGTGCACTAAATCAGACATAAGACATTTTGCCGCTTCCAGAGCAGAGTAGCTCCCTTGCTTGGCTCGCAGTGGCTCAGCAAGGGTATCTATCAGGTTAGTGAGGCCATTCCAGATCCACACAGCCAAGAGGGAAATTCACAGAAAAAGTACACAAACAAAACTTGCCACCAGTTCTTGTAGATAGGCCTTTACTGCACAAGAATGGCCCACCCAGGGAGCGATACTTGGTAGAGTCCTGCCAAGCAATCTTTAGCTGGGGAGCTGCTGGGATTTTGGGTGGATTTTTTGGCAGCATCACCAGCCATCACCAACATTAGAATGCAGTTGTGCCTGAAATCCTTTGCTGATGTTTTTCTCTCACTAACATTTGTATTTCGAATACCTAATACTCAAGTAACTGGTTTAAAAAAATACTGGAACTACTAAATCTGACAATTAACTATAGCAGCAACTATTAACTGAAAGTAAACTTCTGAACTTAAAATAATTTTCCTGACTATTTTAGGCAGTTTTCCAAGGTCCCTATTATGGTGATGTTATCCAACCAAGGAGCAGTGAAGTCTGCCAAGCTGCAGCACTGCAGAGCCTGGGATGAGCACCCTCGACCACTGTCAGAGACGGGTTGTACAGTTTCTGCCCATACCTAAGTCCAAAGGTCTAAGTCATTTCAAATGAGATGGGATCACAAAAATCCCATCTTCAAATTGGAGGAAAAAATATACCTGAATCCCATCTATTTTCCTTACCGTCATCACTGCTTTGAAAATGCAAGTACTGACAATTTCAGGAGACCCAGCATCGGCAAGAGAGAATAAACATCCTGCTTGTTACAGATATTTTCAGTGCTATCAATTTGATTTGTCCCAAATAGGGCTAGAAGAGGAGACATCAAAAAGAGCAAGATGTATACTCCAGCACTCCTTTCTTCGCTGACCCCACTTCAGCCATCTCAGAGTTATTTGCAGCAATGCTTCAAGTATGTTCCTCAGATAGATGAGCACTCCAGGCCAGGTTGAGTGAAGATGTACATTGTATAAAATCACTAATTATGCTTTCCTGAAAGCAGGGCTGGCACAGCCCTGCATTTTGAGACAAAGAACTCCCAGGCAAGGGGTATGTATAAAACAAATAACTGCATTCACTATTGCTGTTTGAGATGTGAAATAACTTGAATAATAACAATTGTTTTGGTGGAGAAAACTCCCTCAATTTTAGAAATGCCACCCCCAACCTAAAAGGAAGAAGACTGGATATTCCTCCTTCTAAAGAATCCCAAATGAATAGTTACTTACTGTATTTTAAACATTAGTTTTGGGCTGAATCCAGTGAAAAGAGCTTGGGGCAAGAGCAGACTCTCCCATCACACAGGCAGCCTCCCACTGCTGTGTGCAAAACTCGACCACCTCAGTCTGCTCCTGTGCTAGGACTGGCTCTTACTACACAGGCCTGGACATATGCTCAGGGCACAGCAGAGTGATAAAACTCAAACACACACAAAGCATGCCATGAAGTTTCCTACAGCCAGAAAGCCTGGTGTTCTAAGCTGGCCTTGTAGCATTTCTACCGCTGTGATAATAAGGGAAATAGGAGAACGAGCTGCCAAATAGAATTAAAACAATAATGTTGACATTTCAAAGCTCTTAGATAGAACTTTATGAGAAGGAATTTAACAGAAAACCTAATGGTCCAAATACACTCTACATAAACACACTTCCAGCCCATGGCATGAGCCTGGAGCCACAAGGATGAACATCTTCCAGTACTGCAGAAGCTGTAGGGATTAAAGCTGAGTGCACCAAGAAACAACAGCAGATTCAAAATTTCTGAAAAACTGAAATCTACGTTTAAGACAAAAACATATCCAAGGAACAGCCTTACATAAACAAGCAGCAGTAAGACTGCTGAGGATTTTGCTCTCAGCACTGTAGGCATGTCTAAGAACTCGGCCAAAGAGGATAAGCTGTAGCAGTAGCCGTGTGTAACACATGCAACCACAGATTCCCACACAAACAGCACCTGCCAGCAGCAGCAGCAAGAAATTCAGATCTTGAGATACCTAGGCCTTAGTTGGATACACCAGCACACATAGAAGACACAAGTTATGGTTTACCTTGCCATTTTTCAAGTTCTAAAACAGAAAAGGCAGGGAACAAATTTAGTTAACTTTTTTTTCTTCCAAAACAAATCTTTTGATAAGACTATAAATTGGGCACCTTAGTTCCATGGCTCATCACTGTGAGAAAGAAGTTAAAGAAAACTAACTTTGAAGTTACTCACCCAAGTCATTAGAATTATTAATACAGACTTGTCTCAAAGTAGGGTAATCATCCAAAGTTTCTTGAGTTAAAAAAGGGAATTAGGCCAGACACTGGATATACACCATGGACATATATCATAGCAACAGAGACAGACATTTTTCAGTATGACCACACAAAGGGCCATTAAAAAAGCCCACCAACAAACAAAAAAAATCACAAACGCTCCCTCCCAAAACAATAAACCCACCACTGTAGATTAGCCAAACCTTGCAACTTACATGTCCTCAACAGTGATGTCCTTCAGTATTTGGCAATAATCCACATTCCACACAGCCTGATCATCCCAGACTTTAGAAGCCAGCAGAATAGCTCCTAGGACTATCCTCTTCCAGTTACTAGGGCATATGTCAATCTCTGCATAGGTTAAAAGCCTTTCCAAATAAACCTATAGAAAGAAGAAGTTAAAAAACCAAACAACAAAACTCCAACAGTTGTGTTTTTTTTTTATGTGTGTAATTAAATCCTGGAGCTGAGTTCTGAGGAGCAATCATGCAAGTCCAATATGACTACTTATTACCATTAAGTTATTGTGTCAAAATAACTATTAATGATTACTACCTACATTTAAGAATCCAAATTTTCAGGAGTTACAGGTTCCTTTTTTATTATAACACAAGAACTGGACCACCAGGGTATACAGTAAAGATAGTGACGTATCAGTCCTGTTCATTTCTATCAGCAATTGCTGTTTCAGGGAAACACTGCTACAGCTGTTCTGTCACAGAGTCACATCACAGACAGGTTCTCATTAGGGGGACAGCAAATCACTCAACATCACTTTAGCCTTTCATCATGGTTAAGGTTCAGCACTTGTAGCTGAACAGGAAGTGCCAAAACCTGGGCTGTGATCTCTAGTGATGGGACAAAGATGCGTTAATCGCTATCTTTCCACAACAAAAGGTGTTCTAGTGCTATTTCTATTGTACCCTGTAAAGAACAGTCTTCAGTGCCTTCATCTACATCAACAACTGCTTAAATAGTGAAAGATACAGAAGTCCGGAGATGTGTCTTGGTCCTTTACTCATTCCTCCCATGAAATCTCAAACCAACTCTGGGATGTCAAATCTGTCTCTTCCTTTAAAGTTTTCCACTATTTCACACTTCTGTAATGATCCACATAACAAGTAATTTGCACTTTCAAAGTTGAATACAGATCGTTTTTAATGTTCTATTCCCTCACCTAAGTCCAAGGTTCTAATGAAACCTCAGATTAACTAGTGGGTACAGGAAGCTGCACCTAATAAGGTCTAAGGGCAGGACTAATCTTTGTCACTGAGATCTCCTCACACTTTCTTCCCATCCTTTGCTTGCAGCCCTCAAATGGCCTAAAGGTGTTCCTATAATAACAGGGCCATCTAGTGGTAAAATGAACTTTAAAAACTAACTCCATATTTTGTAAACACTTCAGCTAGTTTGCCCAGGATTAGCTGTCATCTTGTTCTGTCAAAATTGCTTGCCTGTCTCTGGAAAAGCAAAAACCTCAAGTTTCCATAGCTCTAACTATCTAGCCCTTTTAATTACTCATTTGCATGTTAAAGAGAGTCCTTCGAGCTAAGCTTGCTTAATTGCTACATTTTGTCTTTTGGTGACAGTTCTGTTCTCCTTTCACACTGTTTTTCAGAAGGGAGACACAATGAACACTGAAATCGAGTGTGCAACAAAGAGCAGTTTGAGAGACTATCTAATGTAGCAATTATGTAAGTTATGGGGTTTTTAATTTCCCTTCATACACACATATATATATAAAATCACTACTGTTGACAATTTTTTATATCCACCATGCTTTCTGAAATCAAACAACAAACTGTTAGGAGATTATTATCTTAATATTGTTTTTAAGTTCTAAGTATCTCCATGTCATCTGGAGAAAAAAGTTGTCACCTCTTTGGTTTAATTAAAAAAAAAGTTTGATAGAAAGGTGGCACTGATTGAAGGACATGATAAGAAAGTTCATCTCCTAGAGTTCCTACAGGATTAATCCTTGACTCCTTAAAGCAGTATTACTTGCACTGTTCTGGTTAACATGACCTCAAACCTCACACTTTCCCCTCCATGCAACTGCAATAAAAGATGTCTTTGTGTCTGATCTTATTATACCCCACTGTTTACAGTGCCCTGCTGTTCTGCCCTTCTCAAGCTCCTTCAGCGAGTTATATGTTATGGAACAAACAGTTTTTAATTGGACAAGTAGTTAAGCATTACATATACATATATAAAAAAGGTAAGTTCCATTTCAGTTAATCAATTCTGTGACTACTTAGAAATCTCTAATGAACTCACTTGTTCTGTGTCTTCATTAACAGGGTTTCATGAGACACTGTAACTATTTAAATGTCAGCACAGTTCACTTATTGAGGAGGGGCAGGAAAGTGTTCCAAAAGCTCAAGTTTCAGAAATGAGGCGTCTCTTACCAGTGTCACTATTGCACATTCAGCTGTCAGCTGTGCAGCACTGAAGAGCGTCCGGACAAACCGGTAGATGTGCTTGTGATCAGGGTCATGCTTGTAGTAGTCATCTGGAACTTCTTCCCGCTGAAAGAAAGTTCTCTGAATTACTGAAAATCTGACTTAATGGAGACTCTAAAGAACAGCCACACATGGTTATTTCTTCTCACCAAAGTGTATACAACCTTTTCCTGTCACAGAGACAGAAAAAATTATACTGAAAGAAGCAGCCCTGCAATATTACAAATATTCCAAACAAAACACAATAGCTGTAGCTGGTATCTTTGTTTTGAACATTTTTTTGATCTGTGAGGCTAATGGGAAAGAGCATGAACTACCATCACTGTTGCGGGTGCTTACTACTGTCCATAGAACATTTTACAGGCCGAAAGATGTGTAAAAAAATGAGTTATCTTCCTACAAGAAAGTCACATGTATACACACACCAGGGAAACACTGGCTCTTCAAAAGGCAAAATTAGGAGACTTCACAAGATTCCTCTGCCAGCTGAGGAAGAGGTGAAGAACACATGACAATAATTCTGTCATAGGTAGAACTGGAAGGTAATTTACACCGTCTTCATAGGACTCATCCTTGAGAGACTCCAGAAAGACCATAAAACTAAGGAACAGGTAGATTTAACTCTGACACAATGCTAAACTCTTTCTAAATACAGGGGAGAAGAAAAGCTCAGAAATAAACAGTCCGTACAAGCAATCCTTCTATGAGTGTTTGAGAGACGCTGTGATATTCAACACTCTTCTGGGAGGGATGCAACTTCAAGAGCTCCAACTGCGCACACTGGTTCTGCAACACTGATACTGATTTCTACAGTCCAAGCTAGACCTATAGTATGGTAAAGACAGTAGCTGAGAACATCACACCTGCCTGACATTAAACAGGTAGTTGTAAGGTAAGCAAAGCAGCAAGCATTTTCCTGTGTTTTGTAGTTTCAAGAAGCCAGGTAGCAGTGCCAAGTAAATTGCAGAGGTAAGTTTACTCTGTGCTCTCCACACAGCCTTCAAATACACCACTAATCAGTGGTGGTTACCTCTGCAGGGTGGGCATGCAACATTAGGAATAACACGAGCAGGATCCCTCCTGCACGACAAGCAGTACAAAGGCACATCTGGAAGTGCAGTTCTGCTGACTGGAACTGAGGAGGAAGGCACTGAGACTGGTATTTGTGACTAAACCCCATGATACTGGTAACTGGGTCACATTAGGGTCAACAGAG